TGAATTCCCATAACGTCGATTCACAGGCCCTCAGAACGCTTTGGAAATCAGACCTGGCAAAACTTTGTCGTTAGACAGATAAGATTAATAATACAAGTAAAAAGAAAAGGTATCCGTAGCCTGGTATTGACACAAATTAATGGGAAATGATAAAACTGTGTAGAAATAATGTAATTGTCGGCTATTATTGAGGACCTCTTGATTTTATTTTGAGTAATTTCTAAAAAAAAAAAAAAAAAAAAAAAATTATCATCAAAAAAATAAAATGTCATGCGGATAAAAGCAATATAATACTATCAGTATAATCAAATAAATGTTGGCTAGTTAGCTGGCTAACAACACGTTACTACGAATTGTATAGCCGTTGCTATTTTAATTTTTGCACTCTCAAGGCACTGTGAACGTTAGTTAAATGTTAAAATCGGTAAATTACATAATACATTCCAAAACGATAAAATTGTGGGGTCTTGTGGGGAAAAGCTGGCACAGCCATATTTCTCCGGCAAAAAGGCAATTCATCCTGAACCTATTCCCTACAGCAGACAACACGCCCCTCTCAAATATTCACGAACGTAATTGTCCGCTATCAGCAGTTATTTAAAAAACCGCTATGGGTTTGTACCCATTAACGTGTGAATGAATCCCTGTCCTGAGAACTTGGCCTATATCGGCCTACTTGCGCTCAATCCAAACCACTGCAAATTCACAACCTGCGTTTTTAAACTACGACACAAGTGCGGGCATGCCGCATACCCCAGTAGGTTCGCGCTCATCCGTCCTCCAAATTAAAATACGGTTATGTTGCAGATTTGGAACCCACCTGCCTATGCTCTGGCGTCCGACGCCTCCTCCTGCTCCCCCGGTACCGGAGGCCGCAGCGGCTCCGCTGTTGCTTCCGCCGGGTTTGCGATTACCACCGGCCTGCGGCTTCATGGACATGGTGATCCCATAAACGACAGCTTGAGCAGAGTTTTTTGACTGTTTGAAAAAAAAACGTTTACACCGCGCACGAGTGCGGAATATACTATTTGACGTGTTAGCTGACAGTTGATCTAGTGACAGCCAACGTGTACTCTCCAGTTATTCAAGTATCCACTAATGCTGCCTGCTACTTCAGCTAGCTCTGCTGATTTTTCCCCTCCTAACCAGAGACGATTTAGTCCGTTTTAAAAACCAAAGCGAGGTCGATCCATATGTTTTAGATGTCAACAAAAATACCAACCCAGTAATTTCGCTTTTTTGTTGTTGTTGTTATTTTAAGTGCGATATTCTCTGTAATATACACAGTTCACGCGGGGCTTCAGTACTGACCGATAGACCTAAACAGTCTGAAAAGCCACAAAAAGTGGCGGAAGGATATATATGTATATACACATTCCAGGAATGTGTGTACTCCTTTTGTCGGTTTTGTTTGTTCTGAAGAGAAATGATCTCCAGTGATTACTGTAAATATTATTGGAAGATGATACGTTATTTAGTTAATATTGGAAATGGATGAATGTTAGTTTTGAGGAACACTGCTCTCATTTAGAGTGCACTACTTTCAGCAAAAGCAGTGATCACTTTGAGCGTTTGCGCTTTGACACTATAGGGCCAGATGACTGATATAGCCTTAAATTCCTTGAGCACTATGTAGTTATTCTTATCATTTTATTCGTTTGAGTGTTTATTTTAACTCTCAAATGTCTTTTAATAATCAGACAGTTAGTGAAACATTTAATTTTTTTTATTATCCTCATTTAACCCAATTGAGCCCTATCTGGATAAAAAATGTGGCCCTTTTTGTTGGCCTACTGGTTTGAAAAATTATTTTAAAAGATTCTTCCACTCATATGTTGCAAACTGGTTATATTCCTTCCTGGTTGGCAGCATCTGGGTAAATTCACTTCACTTTTCAACATTTTGTGAAGAACCAGATCCATATAGAAATCTTATAATTTTGATATTTGATAGGCAAGAAGCACATTTATAATAAATGTGACATTTCAAGAAATATGGGAAACCAGAGTTGATTAATTATTTAAAGATTACTGTGATCCAAATTATTATGCAAGTGAAATATCAGTAAGAATTCAGTACGATAAACATTCAGATTTTAGTTTTTAAAGAAAGTGTTCTTTTTCTCCCATATATATCTTTTTTAGAGAATCAGTCAACCTAATTAAATAGGTTGTTACATATTATTAAGCAAGTTGTGTAAGGAAGAAAGATCTTTCTAAAGACGAGAAGCATTAAATTGTGCAATGTCATACAAAAGGGCATGCATGAAATAAAGTAATATTTTGCGCAAACTGAATGGAGATTATCAAACTATCAAAGGATTTGTAATTTAGAGCACAGAAGAACTCGGTAAGATAAAGGCTTGTTAAGGAATGTTTTGGTCAAACAAATCCTAAGATCTCCTAAGACCTGGGAGGTCACTTGCGCACGCGCGCACACACACATGCTCTGTACAGGTTCACACCTCCAGGGCCTCTATGGCTGTGACCCAGGCCGGAGAGAGTGCACTCTGCCTGGGGAGTGAGTTCAATCTCCACCATGGTGGATCTCTGGCACACACACACACACACACACTTGCTCACTCCACTCAGAGCTCCATGCTACTGAGATGGTCCAGAGTCAGATTCGCCCGCCACCCCTGGAGCTCCGTCTGGAGCACAGACGGTCCTAAAACGGACCTTCGGGATTTTGTAGTGGAGGTGCAGCCTTCCTGGGAACAAATCAAGCTCAAATGCCCATGGCGGGTTTGACTCTGGAGTCAAAGCTTTTAAAAATGACAAAGTCCAAAAAGTTGCGGTGGTCTCAAAGCTCCAGAGCCTTTAAGGCATTGACCCAAGCCTAAAAAAACCAATCCTGGGCACGAACAAAGCCCATGGTGGGTTCAGGGGCAACTACACAGTCTTTCACACCGGTTAAGTGTGATCCATCTCACATTAAAAAGAACATTCCTAGTTTGAAGAAGCAGAAGTTTTGAAGTGTTACAAAAAAGAAAGCAAAATTTTAAGGTTTTTTGGATATGTTTGTTTTATTTGTATATTATATATTGTTATGGATATTATATTTTATTTATTTTGTTTTTCCATATCAATTTTCAGAAGTTATACATGCAATAACAACGAAAAATGTTCAGGCACAGTGCTCAGGCTGTAAATAAAAGATTTGTTACACAATAGTGTCTTGTGGACATTTTTTTTTTCCAAAAAGTGCTTCATGTTCAAAGATAATATCTGGTTATATTGGTCCATGGTCATTCCTATATTGGGCAGCTATAAAAAAGCTATAGCTACTGTTGAGCAGCAAACAGGTATTTCAAGAATCTTTCCATGCAGGTCCCTTTAGGGTACCACAGGATGTCAAAATGACTTCTGCAATGACTTCTTAAAGGTGCATATCTTCAGAGGTAATAAAGTTATAAATCTGCAAATATCTCTGTGAGCTTTGGAATACAACTGCCAGCCAGCGAGTTTTTTGGGGAGTGTAGAGACATGCTTTTTTTGCTTCAAATACCTATTAATTTTTTGCAAAATTATAGTTTTCATGCCTTTTGCAAAACATTGCACTGTTTCATGCTTTTCATCTTTATACAAATCTTTCTTCCTCAGCATATGAGAACTGTGACTTGCTTGATAGACCTTTTTCACATTTCCATGTTTCTCAAAAGTCGCCATGTTTAGGTAAACCATGCATGTGACGACATTAAATATTTTTTGTGTGTTCCTATTTTCTCAAATATTAAAACAAAAACTCCACAGTAGTGTTTTTACAACTTTCAAAAACAGGAAAAAAAAATAGATAACGGCAGTCAGAAGAGAGAAAGATGCTAATTATACAGTCACTCCTGCCGCTGTATTTGAAGCAGCCTCACAGCAATGTTAATTAGTTTTTTGTAATTTGATGCAAAGGTAATTACAAAGTAAAGTGTTATAAATAAATTTAAAAAAAAAAATAAAATATAAAAAACGTTGAAGGATTTACGATGCTGATGGCCGTTAAAACAAGTTAACTTGTCAACAATACAGATGTGAGAAATAAAACAAACTATTTCTTTGAAAAACTTTCTTACTGAAATCCTATTGATGTCACTTGTAAAAGTGTAAAAAGACTACATCTCAGTAAATGTTTTCAATTTAAATGTCCAATTGAAGAGTTCAGATGCAAAAGCCTCTAAATGCCATTTGAAATTTTCTTCTTTAATGATGATTTTTATCAAACTTGTATATTTAAGTTCAGTAATTTCACTTAAATAACAATTAATAGGTAATTATCATTGCCATTTAAGTGAAATCACTGAACTTAAATATACAAGCTTGATAAAAATTATCATTCTAGAAGAAAATTTCAAATGGCACTTAGAGGCTTTTGCATCTGAACTCTTCAATTGCGCAAGTGCAGGTTTACAGTGGAACTAGTAGCATGGTGTTTTAATTTGTTTTCAGATATGTGGCTCAAAACTGCCATAAGTGCATAATTGTAGTGCACACTAAAATTGGACAACATAACCATATATAGCACCTATTTTTAATTGCTATTTGGCATCAAGAGAGTAAAATAAAACCACATTCATGCAAGTATCAACTGTACAAGTTGTTAGCCTACATTGAACAATATTTTGCTGTTTCATAAACTGTTTAGTGTTTTGCTGTTTAAATCGGCTGAAAAGTCTAATAATTCTGTGTTTCGTGGAAGGTTTCTATTGTGACAACATTTTTAGTTAATTTTTTTCTGAAAAACATAATATAGCCTACACAACATAATTAAAAAGTGAGGGCTTTTAAAAAAATTAATACTTTTATTAAGCTAGGATACATTCAAATTCAAAGTTCAAATAAATGTTATTCTTTTGCACTTTCTGCTTATCAAAGAATCCTTAAAAATGATCAATATTAAATATTAAGGCTACTTTAGTTTACTTCCTTGATTTGTACTTGTCCTTGTTGTCCTCCCACGTGACCGTATCTTAGCAACGTGATGCGTGGGTCATTATTAGACCAAAGGTAAAGAACAACGTCATCGTATGTGCGATACATTCGTATTTGCAAGATTACGAGTATTTTTGCACATGTGTTCGCGTGTTACTCAATTCAAACTTTTTTTTTTACAAACCTTCAACAGATATAACTGATTTCTACGGCACTAGAAAGACTAAATTATCCTGCCTAACCGACACGCGCAGAGATTCTAGCGGTTTCATTTGGTAACATCGTGATTCTGATTGAGATCCAATTCTCCAGATTTCCTTCTAACTTACATACTAGGACACAACGAGCAATGTCAACGGCAGATAAGACAGATGCAGAACCCGAAGGCTCGAGGGAGCAGAAAAGCACAGTAGATAATCAAATGAAAAAAGCATCACATGATGACGATGAAGGAGTACAAGAAGCTGGAGAAGGAAGAAGTGAAATATCCAGTATTGGAGAAAATGTTGCGGATTCACAAGTTTACACAGCCACATCATTGTCTGGCATTCCCAAAGAGAACAAAACCAAAACTCACCCACTGGTAATGGTTTGACAAAATTACTCTTTTATTTTTATTTTATATTTTCTAAAACTAAAAAGATGTTAGCCTATGTTTCACAATGACAAGCAGTCATATATTGTATTTTGCATTATTACAATACATCTATTTAGGAGCTAACAATACTGATCTTGTTAAGTAAAAATCATATATTGTCAAAATCTTAAACACTATTCCCACTATACCTTTGTTTCTTTATTTCACATATGAATGTAAAATTTTGATCTTTATAATTGCAGGTCCTTGACTGGGCTTATGGGATCAACCAAACACTACCTGTTCTCAGCCTGCAGGATGAAGATAGGCTTGTCATCTTGTATGTTTGTGCTCATGTTGCTGTCATGTATGATCACACTTCAAATGCTCAGCATCTGTTACAAGTAGGAGGCTCATTTGGCTACTTAGAAAGTAAATCATAAGGTGACACATTATTCCGATAGTCAATTTTAGACAATCTACTAACTATAAGTAACTTTTCAACTACATGTCAACTAACTGTCATTAGAGTATTATTAGACTGTCAGCTTAATATCTGCTAACACTTTATTTTGTGGGTCCCCCAACAGAAATTCAACTGACTATAAGTAATTTGGCGACTACAAACTTATTCTCCTAACCCAACACCAAACCATAACCTAACAGTCTACTGACAGTCTACTATAATATACTAATACTCTAATGAGAGTTACTTGACATGTAGTTGAAAAGTTACTTAATTAGTAGAACGTCTAAAGTGACTATCGAAATAAAGTGTAACCAATCATAGTTAATTTAAAGCCTCAATTTTTTGTAAACATGTACCTTTTATGCTATTTGGTGTCTACAGGGCCACTGCAGTCCAATCACCTGTTTGTGTGCCAGTGAAGACAGGCGTTGGCTTGTGACAGCGGACATGAGCCAAGAGAGTCTTGTTATTATATGGGATGCTTATACAGGGTAACTCTGACCCAAATATTCATGTATATGCATATATGTGTGTATATGATTGATTATACAATCTATTTATATTGTTTTTGTAAATCTGCCCTTAAAACTGACTGTAAGGACTTGATGGTCTTGAATATGATTTTCAAAAAACCTGTTGAAGTTGTGACGAAACGAAAGTAGCAACAGATCTTTTCTTCTTTGTTGTGATGTACATCGAGGTGAAACGGATTATTGGAAAAGAAATAAAGGTAGAGAGAGGTCCATTGCTTGTTCTATCCATCCCATCCATTGGTTGTTGATTAAGCGGACTAAATGTTTGGAGAAATTCGACTTACATCTCTAGAGAGAAGTGTGTAGTTTCATCAGAAGATCGTGTTATGACATTTTGATTAGGAATTACAAGGCGGACAATAAACAAACCTATACATGGATGAATCAATCATAACATATGTTGTAGGATTCCTGTGCGGACTTTGTTTGACTGTCATCCAGAGGGTGGAGTTTCTGCCTTGGCACTATCAAAGGATTCAAAATATCTGGCGACTGTTGGAGCTGGAGCAGTACAGGTTTAAAACAAAATGTTTTATATTATCTATCATATTTTTACATAACCTCACTGTAGATATCTTACGTAATCTTAGATGCACCCTCCCTCTAGGAGCCGTGTATTTCCAGCATCTATCATAACTTGCCAAAAGAGACATTGATCCCAGGGAGATAATGAAAATGAAAACTTCATTAACTGAAATAATGATGAACATAAAAAGGTCAAATGAAATCCCATAATATTTTCACTGCTTACAAATACACTAACCTATGTATTTTTTTTTTTCTATGCATCAGCGAGTGTGTATTTGGGACTGGACAGATGAAAGCGACAGCCCACAATGTCAAGTTGACCTCAGCCCAAAATATGGTTGCCAGGTATGTTGCAAAAATGTGCTTGATGAGGTTATTATGCTGACCTTACTGAAAAAAAACACGTAGGCTATACCAAAATGTATTTAAAATGTGTTTAATTCATACAAAGTATGGTACTATAAATCCATTAACATATTTACTGATGTATCGCTTGAGACTTATTGATATAAATATTTTAATTACATTTTATTTTTATTATAAAATACTTCTTCATTGCACAATGCACATTTCTTAATATTAAGCCTAATGTATTTTAAAATCACTGTTAGTAAAGATAGTATCAGTCAGCTTTAAATGCATCTAACATGTAAACATTCTCCATGTCTTCCCAGAACCAAATACTTTTTAATCCCACTGACAGCACACAGTTGGTTAGCAACAGTAGCACTCAGGTTCTCTTCTACAGCTGGGTAGGAATTATTTATTTGTTACTGATTTACTATTTTAGTTGTCTGAATATAACAATGAATTCTGTTGCTCAGGAAAAGGAACATCTGGGATACTCTGCTCCTGAAATTACTGACAAGGTTGGCAGAAGAACCTTTCATCAGGTTACACATCTGTGTGCTGTTGTGATGTATTCTGCTCCGTTTTTGGCATTGACCTTTTGCAAATATGTCCCCATTCAGACCTTCAATATGGTGCTAGGTTCCCTGAGCCAGTCCATCTTCCACTATGACAGTATGCAGGCTCTTACAGCCACTTCAGCTGGGAATATAGTTCTCTGGGACAAGCAGACTGAGTCTGTCTCTTCTCAGCCCATAGTGAGGAAAGCCATGAAAATTGTCTTTCTCCAGAAGGAAGCTATCACCGTATTGACTTTGATTGACAGGTATATATGACACAGATACAGTTTATGGCAAATTTTTGCATTAATATTTTTCAAATAAATTCAAATAAGCTAACTGTGCTGCCACTGCAAGGTTGCACCTATTACATTTACAGTTGTTGTATGTTATATTTTGCTTTGCATTTGTTGTTTTCCTGTTTGACATTATTTAATACCATTACACAATCTGTATACTTGTCTTCATATGTTCTCTGTCAAGTTTCATCGTTACAGGTGACGTGAGTGGCCAAATCAAATTCTATGATGGAAATCTCAAGCTCATCAACTTTTACAATGAGTTTAGCTTGGATCCCATCAGATCCATCTCCTTTTCCAAAGAAAAGCCTTCCACTAGCAGCCTGGGATATCCAAAAGACTGCACACTGGATACCAAACCATTTGTCATAAGGTGAAAAATTCAGAAAGATCCAATATTTATTATGATAAATGTGCCATAACAAAATACTGAATAAAATAAAAAAAACTATGAGCAAGTCAGGATTATATTTGAATTATTGTTTAAAAGCAATTCAAGGTCAAAGAATTTATTGTCATATGCACAGTGAGGAAAAACAAGTTTCCCTGTACAATGAGCTTCTTTCTTTGCTGTCCACAATGAATGCCAAGACTAGTGCAAAGTACTTAAAAGAAGAAATAAACATATGCACAGACACACACACACACAAACAAAAATAATTTTAGAGAGAATTTTAGAGAGAAACATTACTTAGCAATTATTTCATTCAAAGATGTTTTGAAGAAAGTTCCAATAATACATTTTTGTCACATGTACCTCAGCAATAAGTGGAAGATACACAAATCATCAGTTAAAAGCATAAACTGCTAACAAGAGTGAAGTGTGTAGATTGGATGCATCATCTGCATAACAGAGTACATGTACACTCACCTAAAGGATTATTAGGAACACGTTAAATTTCTCATTAATGCAATTATCTAATCAGCCAATCACATGGCAGTTCCTTCAATGCATTTAGGGGTGTGGTCCTGGTCAAGACAATGTCCTGAACTCCAAACTGAATGTCAGAATGGGAAAGAAATGTGATTTAAGCCATTTTGAGCTTGGCATGATTGTTTTGTGCCGGACGGGCCTATCTGGATGGGCTACAACAGCAGAAGACCCCACCCGGTACCACTCATCTCCAGTACAAATAGGAAAAAGAGGCTACAATTTGCAAGAGCTCACCAAAATTGGACAGTTGAAGATTTCTGTTGAGACATTCAGATGGTAGAGGCAGAATTTGGCGTAAACAGAATGAGAACATGGATCCATCATGCCTTGTTAGCACTGTGCAGGCTGGTGGTGGTGGTGTAATGGTGTGGGGGATGTTTTCTCGGCACACTTTAGGCTCCTTAGTGCCAATCGGGCATAGTTTTAAATGCCACGGCCTACCTGAGCATTGTTTCTGACCATGTCCATCCCTTTATGGCCACCATGCTCCAATCCTCAGATGGCTACTTCCAGCAGGATAATGCACCAGGTCACAAAGCTCAAATAATTAGGGCCCAAGCCCTGAAAGGGCGAAGGCCCTATTGTTTTCCTTGCGATTATTTTTCTTCTCTATTATTAGGGCCCAAGCCCTGAAAGGGCGAAGGCCCTATTGTTTTCCTTGGGATTATTTTTCTTTACTATTATTATTATTATAATAATTATTATTTTACTACCTTTGGGCACTTTTGGGGCCTTAACGTGCTCGAAAACTCTTGAAACTTTGCACACGGGTCAGAACCCGCGGCCATCAGAGCCGGGCTGAAGCTGGTACCCGGGCGTGTAGGGCGGCTCGTCAGCGCCCCCTGGAACGGGGTCCGAACACTTGGTCCATAACTCAAACACGCTTGTATGTAATAATATGAAACTCGGTACACATGTTGATCTCATCGTTTCATCTATACCTCGCGCTCTTACTTTTTACCCCAGCCCGACAGGAAGTCGGCTATTGAGGTTTGTTTGTAAAACGCTCGCAATGGAATGTCATATACTCCTCCTAGAGCTTTGATCCAAATTCGACGAAACTCGGTCAGCGTGAAGTCAAGACATTGAGGATGAAAGTTTGCGAGGGGATTTTTTATATCTCGAACGGTTTGTCCGTGGCGAGGAAACGAAATCATGGCGAGAAACGTGAAACAGGAAGTGTGTTATAACTTCAGCATACATTAACTGATCTTGATGAAACTTCAGCAGTGTGTTCGCTGTAAGAGGACGATCACATGGATGTGACTATTGTGAGTCAAAGTTATAGCGCCACCAACTGGCAGCAGGAAGTGTGTCACTTTCAAAATGCTTTGATATCACCCTTTTATTTTTACCCGATTTGCTTCAAACTTCATATGTATAATGTAAACATACGGCAGATGTAGACCTGTGAATGGATTCTTGATATCTTTGAAACTGTTGCCGTGGCGACGCATCAAACTTTACCCTTCTTTTAGGATGCTTTTAGGATGCTTTAGGGACCCTTAGCATGCTTCAAATGCATGAAACTCGACAGACACATCACATTTATTAGCCAGTAGACATGTGCAAAGTTTCAGAAACGGGCGTGGTGAGGGCTCGGTAGCGCCACCTTTTGACAAAAGTGGGGTTGTTAGTTTTAACTAGAGTTACAAAAATTGGTATGTATATTGTACTCCTCGAGCCGGACAACTTTCTAATTTACACTTATTAGCTAGGACCCAGAGAAACTCAGATATTTTTGTTTGAATATGGTCACTCTGAGCTTACATGGGTCTTTGGCTGTCTTTGGCTGTCTGTGTGTGTGTGTGTGTGTGTGTGTGTGTGCCTGTGTGTGTGTGTGCAGGGGGAGGGGGCTTAACCATTTCACTGCTGTGTGTATGACCTGCATAAAGAAAATACATTTCTCAAGCCTGGTATTTTTTAAATAAGTTTTTATTTTTATTTTTTATAAGTAAAGGCATATAACTAGTTTAATTGTAGTGAATTGACAATAGTTTTATATAATTAGTTTATTAATCAGATTAACTTGGTCAATAAACTTGGTCTGAAAATTTGGTCCATAAATCAAACACACTTGCATGTAATAATATGAAACTTGGTACACATATAGATCTCATCGTTTCATATATACTTCACACTCTTACTTTTTACCCCAGCCCAACAGGAAGTCGACTATTTAGGGTTGTGTTTAAAACACATGCAATGGAATTTAAATTATTGCTCCTAGAGCACTGAACCAAATTCGACGAAACTCGATCAGCGTGAAGTCAAGACATTAAGGATGAAAAGTGCCACGGGATTTTTGATACCTCGAACGGTTTGGCCGTGGCGAGGAAACGAAATTATGGCGAGAAACATGAAACAGGATGTGTGTTATATACTTCAGCATACATTAACTGATCTTGATGAAACTTCAGCAGTGTTTTCGCTGTAAGAGACCGATCACATGGATGTGACTATTGTGAGTCAAAGTTATAGCGCCACCAACTGGCAGCAGGAAGTGTGTCACTTTCAAAATGCTTTGAAATCACTCTCTTATTTTTAACCGATTTGCTTCAAACTTCATCTGTATAATGTAAATACACGGCAGATGTAGACCTGTGAATGAATTTTTGATATCTTTGATACTGTTGCCGTGGCAACGAAACAAACTTTAACATTCTTTTTTGATGCTTTTGGGACTCTTAGCATGCTTGAAATTGCTTGAAACTCAACAGATACATCACATTTATTAGCCAGTAGACATGTGCAACTATGGCAAAAGATTAAAGTAATGTGAAAAAAGTAAACACTAAAAGCCTCATATCTTCTAAAAATGTAATTATACATCATTTGTTTCTAAATTAAATTATACAAATATTATAACTTCCCAATTTTTCCCTTTTTTCATTTAAGAATTATGTTTACGTTCAAAAACAGCCAGAATTGTTGTAAAGTTCATAAAAAAATAATAATCTGAGTCATACGTAGTGCTATACTGCCCTCTTGTGTTCAATATCAGGTAGGCCTATTGTGTATATTCCCACCGGTTAATCAACGTGTGACTCCGCTGGGACTGGGAGCTTTTTAAATCGCTTACTTAAACCGAAAGTCAAAATACGGATGTCCGCACAAGACATTAATGGTGTGGAGTAGAGCGAGCATTTTAAATAAATTCCTATTAAGTAGGATTGAACTAAACAGAAAGAATGTTCACTCTGTTCTGCTGGTTCCTCGCTGGTGGATCATATGATTACTTTGTCATAATCTATGACAAAAATGCTATTATAAACTATATTAATAATAGATAATACACATTGCTCTTATTTTTAAAAAATACATTCATGAAAAACAAGATAACAAAAATCATAAAAAGATATAGCCATGGCTGCTATAAATGTTTGAAATGCATAGGACAGATGTTTAATGACGCAGCAACACATATAATTGAAAGGCAATTAATAATCTGTCATTACGTCACTGCATTATGATATTACGGCTCTAATACGGTGCAGCACAAAGCACTTATGTGCATCCCGAGCGGAGAATGATGTGCTTGAAGCCACATGAAGTTACAGCGCATTGAGTCCGTATTGAAAAGTTCAAAGCACAAAGGAAAATACATATTTATGAACAGTGTATATACATTATATATCTATGCAATAGTTTATTGAGCCTTTTCTTTTAAAGGTTTTAAATTTCAGTTACTGTGTGCGTGAAGAACAATTATAGTGCTCTGACTCTAGTGTTGTGATCTAACGACAGCGTCTGACACCCGGTAGAAAGTAACACGATTAAGTTACAGCAATAAAGTCCAGCAAGAAAAAGTTTCTTCATTCGAAAATATAGACCTTTAGACCTTTATCTTAAAGATCCAGTATAATAGGATTAACATTGAATCATCTTGAAGATCGTTTCATCATTGACTGTAACCGAATGCGACGTGCTGTTTGAATGCTGAATGGAGAATGACTGACAGGCGCAGAGAGGGAAAAGTTTACGTGTTCTTGAATTTAATGACTTAAATATTAATTTCTATATCACATAATAGCTTCAGAACACTTATAATACAGTACACAAAAACTTTATGGTACTTTAGAAAGTTTTTGTGCCTTTGTGCCTTACATAGAATAGTATATGCACAATATAGAATTTGAATCAGCCTCGTCAAAGATGGCAGTGTCAGAGCCGATACCGATCCCTGAGTATCTAATCGGCGCACTTCTTTTCAACAGTCAAATTGAAATTGAAATTGCTTGAAACTCAACAGATACATCACATTTATTAGCCAGTAGACGTGCAAAGTTTCAGAAACGGGCATGGTGCAAGGACTAAATAGCGCCACCTTTTGACAAAAGTGGGGTTGTTAGTTTTATCTACAGTTACAAAAATCGGTATATACATTTTACTCCTCAAGCCGGACAACTTTCTATTACATAGTCATTAGCTCGGACCAAGAGGAAGTAA